TATAGTAAATTTTCCTTTAGATGCAGGTTGCCCCCCCCCCCTCTTCCCTTTTTGCCGCTGATATAGGGCGAGAGCTGGCATATTCTAGGATTCTGACAGTTAATTAGGCTATTTTTTAATTTTTTTTTTTTTGCTTGTCAAATTTTTTGGCAAGTTAGCCCCCCCCCCCTATTTTTTTGAAACCGTTGCTACGGGCCTCAGTATTCCTATTCAGTTGTCGTTTAACTATGTAAACATACGGTATAAAAACTCTTATTTCCTCTTCACACACACCCCCCCTTTGAAAAAATTCTAGATCCGCGCCTGTAGCTGGAATCATGTTGCTGTTTTATACATGTAATTACAATGGAAAGAAATGATGAAATAAAAAAATTAATGAAAGAAGAGTGTATTTCATTGTGTTTTCATATACAGAATTGATCCACTTAGTTCAGTTGTATTTTTAGCATGTAATATGGTGTTGATTCATCCCCTATATTAAACATCAAATATTTGTTTAAGCTTATTCTCTCATACAAAGCAAAATATATATCTGGGGCCTGTTTTACAAAAGAACTTACGACTAAGACCAAAATTTAATTCTGCTAATAACTTTCTCATTTACATTAAACAGAAAATGGTTTTAATATTTTTAAAAGGTATGCAGAAAGAGACTTTTACTTTAGCAGTTTTAAACAGAATAATTAATTTTGCAAAATTTTACAATCAACTGAAGTTTTTAGTCTTAGTCGTAAATTCTTTTGTAAAACGGGCCCCAGGTCTCTTAAATAGGTTTGGTTAAAATGCTGCTACATGTATGTACGATGTTGTATGAAATTATTCTCTGTATAATTATATAAGATGGAACCAAAAAATTATAAGGGTTTTCAAAGTTGGTAGTTATATGGTCATAGGGAAGGTCAAGTTAAAAAATGATTGATACAGATTAATCATGACCGTAGGAACCGAGGGGGGGAGACACGGGGGGGCATGCCACCCCCCCCCCCCAATAATTTTGCCGATATATAGATTACTATAGTAAACATAGGTACTATATGCTAGTGCCCCCTCAATAAAAACGTCTGAAGAGCTTTTTTTTTTTTTTTTTTTTTTTTTTTTTTTTTTGCTTGCTTGTCAGGAAATTTTTGGTAGTGCCCCTTCAACAGTCAACTGAAAATTGTATGGCTGTGCTCCCCCAAACTGAAATTGCTTCCTACGGGCCTGTTAATTGCTCACAATTCTATTTCAATGTATTAATTTTGTATTAATAAAGTTGGTAATAATTTAAAATAAATGGAGAAAGCTAAAGAAAGGGCTAGAAATGCTCAAATTCAAAGTTGGAAAAGCCAAGATTAAAGTTGGAATTACCAACTTTAAAGTTGGAAAAGCCAACTTCAAAGTTAGAATTACCAACTTTAAAGTTGGAATTACTAACTTTAAAATTGGGAAAAGCCAATATTAAAGTTGGAATTACCAACTTTAAAGTTGGAAAAAGCCAACTTTAAAGTTGGAATTACTAACTTTAAAGTTGGAAGAGCCAAGATTAAAGTTAGTTTAAACCATATTTTATTTGAAAATGACAAGCAGAAAATACAGGTAAGTAGTACAAAAAAATCAAAAAGGATTCGGAAACAAGTTTGAAAACTTAAACTAATTCGTTTCCTTATTATTATGATCAAGATGACAGACCCTTATTAGATAGTTACATAACACGGTTTGAAGCAATATTTGAAATTGACATACATGTTAAATTAGAAATCATGTCGATTCACACAAATGAATGACGTTTTAATTATACAGAAGAAGTCTAATGGATTTGAACAATATGTTTGTATGAGAGAGAGAAAAAAAAAACCGACAGAATATGGTTGAATTTACAGGAAAAATAATTATAGAACAAATACAGGAGATTTACACCAGTAACAGATATTAATTCAAAATTGAGAAGAAAAATAACAATGAGAAAAAAAAAAAAATAAAAATGACGTTTGCTACACAAGAATATACCCACGGGAGAGGGAGTAGTGAATAGATACTAAGGAAAAACTGATTAAATAAATCTCTTGGTAGCTACAATATATTTTTGGACAGATTTAAAGATTGCAACATTTTCTGCCAGTGGTAGATTTTGGTCACCAAATAATAATATATTGGTGTTGATATAATGTGGAAGTGTGTTTATAAATCTATCTCTGAGATTTTCAAAATAAGGACAATGTAGGAGGAAATGTTCAGAAGTTTCAATCTCGCCACAATTACAGTTTGGGCTGCTGACAATATTTCTAGAAAATAAATGACTTTTTAGTGAGCTACAATCAAGTCGTAGTCTTGTGTTTAATATCTGTTCCTTGCGTTTACCAGTATAATAATATTGAGGGGGTTTACGATTTGCATTATTGGCATTTAAATAACGTTTTAAATTTGACAACGAAGGGTTTTGTTTGATAGAATCGGGCAATTCGTTCCAGAGCTTGATGGTTGATGGGATGAAGGAGTTGCTATAGTGGTCAGTTCTACATTTGACTTGCATCATGTTACACTTTTGTCTAGTGGAATGATTGTGTATATCTTGATTTTGTGGTGGGACTAGATCCGAAAGGTATTGAGGAGTTTGGCCGTAGACCATTTTGTGGAACTGTATAATTCTACGTTTATATTTCCTATCTTTTAGAGATTCCCAACCAGTCCCCTGATAAAACTATGAAGACTTGCAAGTTTCGTAGAGCCGGTTACTATGCGAGCGGCCTCAATATTGATATGTTCGATTTTATTGACAAGATCACTGGACATATTATCCCATATAACGTCACCATATTCGTGTAGCGGTCTAACGTAAGAAAAATACAAATTGTCAAGCGATTTTTCTATCAATAAGAAATTTAAGTTTTCTTAGTAGATGAAGACGTTGAGATGCTTTCAGAAGGGTTGATTGTATGTGCAAATCCCAATGGCCATTTTTTGAAAAATGTATTCCAAGGTGTTTGTGACTTTCAACATTTTCGATTATTTGGCTATTCAGATAAAGCGGGGGATGTGTGATGGGAATGTGTTTATTGCTAAATAATAAACATTCGGTTTTTGAGGGGTTGGAATTTCCAACTTAAAAAAAATATATTACGTGGCACTAATACGCTTCCGTGGTAGTGGGATGACAGTAACACTTAGTAAATTTTTTCGCTTTCATTTTGCGCTTACATTTTCATTTTGCGCTTTCATTTTGCCTTACCCAACGGAGGCCTATACTAATTAACCTGGTTTATTTCTGGCAATTTTTACTGGTGAGAGTAACTTTAAATATGAAACCATTGTGTAGGTAAAAAATGCTTCCTGACATCGGTTGACAAATATACGCATTTTATGCAAAGTACTCTTTATTTCATATTATTTTAAATTCTGAAATAATGAACAATTCGCGGATAATCCGTGATGGTAATTTTAAAATAAAGTTTGTGTATATTTAATGAATGTATTTGGATTTGATTGATGTTGATTTGATGATTTTGTGGGGGTTTGCCAAAATGTGCTGTGTTAAATAGTATACCACGGAATGATATGTACGTAGAACACAAATGTTCAAAAATAAGATTTAAATAAAACATGCTGTTATTTTTTATTTTTTTTTTTTGGAATAAATGCATTTAATTTACATTTTATGTTTAATCAAGTGTGAAAAGTTTACGATTTGAAAAATAAATCAATTATTTGTCTCATATATTGGTTACAAGCAACAATTGCAATTGTATATATATATATATATATATATATATATATATATATATATATATATATATATATATATATATATATATATATATATATATATATATGTTTATCTATTTCCTCTCAACAATTTGTTACAAAGACAAATCTATTACTGATGTTAAACGAAACTGAGGAACCAAGTTGATTTTTTTTCATGGAATTTGTCATAGAAACAAACAAATTCTTTATTTTGTAATTAAATTAAAAGAATTTCTTTTCCACATCAAATCAGACGTTTTGCATTTACTTCTTAATTCTTTGTTAATGTTTTTTTTTAAATCATAGATCAGCTATCAGTATATAAATATGTAATGAAATTCTACATTGATTTAAAAAATCCTTAAAACTTTGAAACTAGTACTTAGGCTACAGAAAATTTACATGTACATGTACTTAATGATGATATGTAAATAAAAATTCACTGAAAGGTACATTATGAAACTTATTTAATCACCACTGAATCGTATCAGAATGGTTATGTGAAGGTCATGAAAAGACCACCGAAAGATAATTAACTTTTTTTCCTTGGAACGTTCATAGAAAATATACAAATGACTGAAATCTAATTGCCGTTTTTTCCGTTTTAACTAAAATGCCATTTCTGTATATTCCGGAACTCACTAACCTTGACCTTTGAGATATGGCTATATGACACGGGTTACTAGATTTAAAGTTTCAATTCATTCAGTTCTAGTGCTTTAGGATCGGTGACGATTTGTGACACACGCACAAATGCAAAAATTTTAGGAAGACGGAGTGACAAGTAGTCAGTAATTTTTCAGTCTCCATTCAGAGTAGGAGACAAAACAAAGTAAAAAAAAAAATGTCTTAAATTGGGACAGATTTCGGAAAATTCCTCATCACAGGAGGAGAACACCAGCACTTCGTTGATATTAATGATTATATATTTTTTACCAAAAAAAAAAAAAAAAAAAAAAACAAAACAAAAAAACAAAACAAAAAACTTTTCTATGGTTAATGGTCATATTTATAACTGAGATCTGAGAGGTTTTCCCGACCGTAAAGCAGTGTTATTAAATGCTGAATGGTCATATGACTTTCTTGCATACATACTAAAGAATTTCAACTGACAGTGATTAACAACGTCTTGTAAATTCGAAATTCTCAAAATTTTTCATAATAAATTAAAACTTTTCAACCTTTTATGTACAAAAATATTGTGTATAAATAGGAAATAAAACACGTCATTTTATGTATAGATATATGCAAGCACATTCTTTCTATTAATATAGAATGCATATATACGCATAAAATAATTGTTTCTTTCATATCTAATTACGAAATAAATACAGGTCTGCGTCGGTGTTTCAGCCTGCGATTACGACTTTCACCTGAAAATAAGAATTATGACAGCCATATTCCCCTGTCGTTTGTATCCAGTCAAGCGTACAAATGTGATTTCGATGTAAGTTTAACAATAATTATAACGCGATCTTTACCGCCGTTAATTGGTACATGGAATGACATTTGTTCTTTTCGCCGTAATTAAATAAGTTTGTGCTTCGTAAACAGATGGTTTATACCAATATGACTTTTCTTTTAATATTGAATGGAAAATATAATTTTGTGAATTTTCTAGTATTTTGGATATATACATGTGTAGAATTTTCAAATTCTCAAGGTAAGTTACAAATTTGATTTTTTTCCCTCGTCAGTAGCAGCAATCATGTTTTAAATCGTATAGAATTGACACGTATTATAGGAGAATGTTTCTATACTTCAGTTCAGAGAAGAATAAATTTATTAAGTTGATCTTTAACTTATTACATCATTTCCAAAGATCACGCTAATGTCTCTGAATTTATATATGCTATGTGATGGTATCTCCTGAATTATCGAAAGTACAGTGCCAAGCAATTTTCTAATTATTCATGCGATAATCAACGTGAGACGTACAGAACATTACTATATTTAAAGTAACAATAGCCAATGCACGCAGTAAAGACACAATCAATGTAAATGTTCTTCTCCAGTTTATATACTGATTGTTCATCTAGTTACATGTACAAATGTAATACCAAGAGTAGTAATACTTGATTTTAAAATCTTAGCTAACTGTTTATTTGTAGAAAGATATTTTCTGAAAGAGAAATTCCATAAGTATTAAAGAACTACCTTTTTTTTATTCGACCAGTTTTGAGAATTTTGAATCGGCAAATAATTCAATTTTCTCAAAGGAAAGATGTTAAAATGATCGATTAGGTCTCCGATATCATCTCATCAATTACAATTTATTCAAATCTTCAAAGACTCATTATGCAAGCTTTTGAATAGAAAAAATATACACGTCTTAATTAAGTCTAACCACGAGGAGAGTAAAGACAAATAAAATTGACATTAGCAACAAACCAGTAAATCAAATACCAAGAAGACTGAATGTACGTCCCATGCAGGAGAATGGATTTCAAAGGTGCGAATCTAGCCACTAGATAATGTCAATGCAAAGGGCATGGTAGCGCCTGCAAGCAAACCTATTTCAACACAAAAACCTTAGGAACTTGTAACATATTTTACTTATAAATTACAAAGGAAAGGGCAATGCCAAGACGTCTTGCTTACTGACTTTAAAACCCTCTAAATATTGCACACTGAAGAGTTCATATTCCACGTTAATATTCTATCCAGTCAAAATGAATTACCATTTGATTAAAAATTGAATAAATTAATAAAGAGTTTATATCAACTCAAGTATTCAAAACATTATATTAGACCAGGAGTAAGTAATTAATTACTTTATTTGCATGTACTTTCCACATTCAAGTAAGGAGTTCATTTCCTATCACCAATGTTTTGTTGTCTTTGAAAATTTTGTTGGGAGAGCATGCGCGGATCCAGGAATTTCTTCCGGAGAAAGGGGGGGGGGGATTCCACTAAAAATCCAATTAACATTTTTTTGGCAAGCAAAATACATGTAATAATAATAATAATAACAATAATAATAATTATAATAAGAGATGAAAAAAATCTAGTCTTGCCCAAACCCCAAAACTTATTTCAAGGGAAAGGGGGGAAGGGATGACTTGCTTTCTTTCATATGAATAAATGACTCTCCTTACAACATTTAATCAGAAGTCCGTGTTTCGGGTTGTCATCTTTCCCTTACTATACAAAGTTGAAAACTCAGATCAGCTGTGCAGAGGTTTTTACCAAAAAAGAATTGGTTGACCCTATCTGAAAATTAAATCCTAAGTCAGGAACTTTAAGTGAAATTCCGGGGTTTTCGGGACTATCTTTCTTTTTCCTTAGCTTCTTGTTTGTTCACAAATTGTTTGTTTGTTTTTTTTATTCCTAACATGATTATTATCTCTTTTTATCATTCTCTATTTTCGTAGATGCAATTGACAATGGACTCATCATATCACAACTTCCTAATCTGTTTTCATCCGGGTCACTAACTACATTACCAGGCAGCATAGATGCATTTAAAACATCATCCATTTTCCCTGTAAGGAACTTTAATTTTCACCAAACTACAGAAATAGTAAGCATAGCAACGGATGCCAACGATGGAAAAATCTACCTCTTAGATGGCAACACTCGAAGTCTGTACAAGATGAACAACTTCAATGTCTGGCTAAACGATACCTCTCAATCCATTACATTATTACATGAAGGCATATCCAAAACCTCCACTAAACTTGCCTACGATTGGCTGACAAAGAACATCTATTGGACAGATGAATATTACAACTGGATCGCCGTCCAATCTACAAATGATTCCGACCCCTCCATGTTTAGGGTCTTGGTCGAAAGAGGTCTCTCTAAACCTCTGGCCATCGCCGTGGACCCTTTGGTAGGGTAAGTACAGGTCAAACATTAAGTCACAAACATGTATCAAAATTAATCGAATTCTTGTTAATCTTCTGAAGTTGAGCCTTTGAGACTGCAGAGGAAACTTGAGTACCTAACATCATAATACATTTGTAAAAGGGTCAAAGTTTCAGTTGGTCTGGCAGTCTTTGACAAAGTGATCCAGTATAACTTTAAAAACAATGAATGACTCAGGCACGATTTATTTATAAGATTCTTATTTATATACTTAGAGGTGGGACGATATACCGATATTTTCTGCTAAGATACGGTTTACGATAGATGCAATGAAATATCGGAACACAACGATACACGAACGACTTTTCAAAAATTGAAAAGAAAGTACCCGTAGTCGTCTTGGAAAACGGCGACGTGTAAACGAACTTAACAAAGTGAAGAGATGATACTGATTTTGAAAACGCGCTTTAGCACTAATAAGTCGTAGATAAAGGGGGGAAATTTTAACTCAGCATACTCGGAAGACAGGACAAGAAAAGTTCAGTCTGTAAAGCGCCTTATATACATGCAGAAAGTATCGTTTCCACACAGGAAATATTAATATTAGTGTCCATCTGGCACTAACAGCTCGGAAAAAGTATGAAATCTTTAATTTGCATTAAAAAGAATTTGAAATTTTGAAACAAATTGTTGATTTATTTTTTGAAAACTCATTTTGTTTATAGACGTTTAGCAATTAATAATTATTCCTTGTCTTGCTTATACATGAACTATTAAGCATAATATGTCCCTTATATAACTCAGCTTTAATGAAACCGCCATTAGACCCTTGACAAATTATGCACACACATGTAGTTATGTTAGAATTAGTTGTTTTTATATACGCAGTTGTAAGGTTTCCATTAATACAAACATCATAAGATTTTCTTTCAATGCTATTGTTATAACAAACCTAGTTCTACTTTGATACATTTTGAATACTCTTCTTTTTAGCATATAGGCTTTTTAAAATAGGAATTTCCTATTTCAAAATAGACAATTCCTGAAATAAGCCACACATTTAATATACAACGTGAATTGAATGTATTAAATTAATGTCTAAAATCGGGACGGCCAAGGTGTAAAACAAAATCAAAGCAGATCGACTACCTAATTAGTCAATCAAAGAACTTTTTCTGTCGGTGATTTAAAAAAATAAAGAATAATATTCGAAACCATATGATGTTCAGACATTTTAATGGTAATGTAAGTTACGCAGTCATACAACGACATAGTAACAGACGCACGAAAAACCATTCACCTTGTATTACCCCATTAATAGGGACATAAAAGAATTAATTATGAATAATAAAAACATAATAATTAAATAGAATAAACATAAACCTATTTCCTTCCACTGGCCGATTAACTAGATGACAACTCGGTAACACGCCCTGTAGTGCATTAACATTTTAGGAGGAGAAAAGAAGACGATTTTGAAATGCATAAATACATATCACAATGATTGAAAAGTGTCTGGGTAAATCTGTCAATCTGGAAGTGCTGATCTTTTTGCAATTTCAGTCGCATAACTAGAACAAAAGTGGAAAATATGATTATAACTATCAATCTTGTAAAATTTATCGCTATTGATTATTTCTAAGTTTCAACTCAGGTATTTCCGATTTAATATAATAGAAGATTCCCAAAATACACTTCAATTGTCATTTGGAAATTATCATTAGAACTGTTTGTGTTTCATAAACGTATTTAAAATTAACAGTTCTTTAACATGTTGAATGTGAACAACGCAGTTTTCCCTCTCAGTGTGTGTTTGGTTCTTGTAATTCTGAATGACAATCCCGACATGATATAAGTACCACACTGACCCATGTTCTGCTGGTCTTCCTTCACCTTCGGCCCTGGAGGACCTCTCCTGAACATAACTATACTTTTAATGGTGTTAGTACGTGTTAGATCGCATCGAGTTATCCCGGCCACAATAAAAAGAAACTAACAAGATAAAAGTTTTAGCACTAAAACTTTTATATTATTACATGATTAAAAAAAAATCATATTTGTATCCTTTTCTAGGTTTCCGCTAATGAAATATGAATATATTGTTAATTTTGTATCTTGTGTCGCCTGAAAAATAGTATGACAAACAAAAACATTGTCTACGGATTTTTGAATGGCCCTCGTACGAATGATTTTTTGTAGAGTCCTTTAGTTTATGCCTCAGGCGACACAAGATACAATGTGTACATAATACATTATATAATCTAATGTAATTATAATTATAATCAATGTATTATAAATATTGATTACTATGTTAATACTATTAAAGCCTCTTTATTGTAAACCACTCATTAATTTCTCGAAAATTGTCTCAACACATTTTAAGACTACACGGATACATCAACTTCCGAATACGGTTAAAATGTACGATAAAACCAGAGACTTCAGAATGAAAAGCTTGGAAGTCTCTGGTTTTATCCAACACTATAAACAGTAACTGGAAGATGATGTATCCCGTGTAAAGTCTTAAAATGTGTTGAGACAATTTTTTGAAGAATGAATGAGTGGTTTACAATGAAGAGGCTCGATCAAGGACGTCTGGAAAAATTCATTAGAAAAGAAAAATAGTCTTGTTAAAGTAGGTTATTAATTGATAAATGAATAAAATATGACTTTTGAAGTGGGGGTGTCTGTAATTGAGTTAGGTGCCTTGTGGTAAAAATAAGTAGGGGTGCCCTCTATACGAAACAAGTGCCTGTGGTACCAACATATTTGACCTCTTGACCTTGGAGTTTGACCTACATTTGCAAAATTTTAACAAACGTTAACCTTGGTCATAACTTTTGAATAAGAAAAGCTAGGGCTTTCATATTTCACATGTATATTACCTGTGACAAACTCTTTCCAAATAAACTGATTTTTGACCCCGTAATCTTGACCTTTAAGTGTGACCAACTTTGAAAAAAAAATAACATAACTTTAATCGTGGTCATAACTTTTGTATGAGAAGAGATGGGGCTTTTATATTTCATTCTAAATATTTTAGGAATGACTCTAATTCTTGGCCAAATTATTCGAGTATAACCTGGTTTGGGTCAGTTTACGCTTTATAATCCGCGAAGCGGATTATAAAACAGCGTAAACTGATCCAAACCAGGTTATACTCGAATAATTTGGCCAAGAATTAGAGTCATTCCTTATAATTTAATTTTAAAATCATTAAATAACTATGGGTGTAAAATTTCGTTGCTTTTCATTAGTTCAAATTTGTCGCTCTATAATACAACCGTAGTAACGGAAGTAACGTAAGTGATGGGAAGCGAGGGGAGGTAAAAACTGATACATAGGACTAGCAGCCTTGTTGTTGTTTACATGTGGTAAGATCGAATTATTATTTGAAGTTAAAGGTATATTTATTAAATCTGGAATTTTCCATGAATCCCGAGGACTGGAAATGAGAGGATTGTATGGATACTAATGACTCAGCTGGTTGTCGGGTTGGGGGGGGGGGTCCCCATACCAGGTTATACAGATATAATTTGTGTTCCTTTTTGGATATTAACCAATCAGAGGCTAGAATACAAACAACATTAAATTATATTATAATATTTGACCCATTGACCTTGACCTTCATGTTTGACTAATTTTTTTAGGAGAAAAATGCTGTTATATCAAGTTTTGAGGGAGAGAAGATAAGCATTCACAATTGACGTGTGCATTACCTGTGATAAGGCGTTTTCGAATGTGTTATGATATTTGACCCAGTGACCTCAACCTTTAAGTTCGACCTAATTTTTAAAAAAAATATCATTGCTGTTAACTTTTGAGGGAGAGAAGATAGGGCATTCATAATTGGCATGTACATTACCTGTGAAAAGGTTTCCAAATGTATTATAATTTTTAACGCCATGACCATAAAGTTCGACCTTTTTTTCAAAAAATTCAACTTTATTGATAGCTTTTGAATGAGAGAAGATAGGGCATTTATATTTGAACATTACTTACATTACATTATTGTGCATTACAATATACCAAAAATAATTGCATCCCAACTACTAATACACAGAAAGCGGGGCACCACAACTCTTTGAACTTGTCTGTTGACCATTTGACCTAGGAGTATGTCATTCTTTTGAAAAACTTTAAACTTTTGAACGGTTCGTGCTAGGGCTTTCATATATTGCGTGTGTATTTCATATGACAAGACTTTCGACCGCCTGACCTTGACTTTTAAGTTTGACATACGTCATTTGTAAAAATCTTGACTTTGCTTATTACCTTTGAGCAGTTGGCGCTAGGGCTTTAATATTTCACATACATTCATTTTGACAAGACTCTTTGGTACCAAGATATATGGCCTCATGACCTTAATCTTGGAGTACGACATACTCTTGTAAAACTTTAACTTGTCATATTGTCTGAATTGTTTGTGCTATGGTTTTCTTATTTTACCTGACAGGTGTATTTATTGTGACAAAACCTTTCTTTGGGTACTTACATTTTTTTTACTCTTGACCTTCACCTATGAGTTTGACCTACATTTGAAAAACTTTAACCATGGCATTGAGCTATCATACGAGGACATCAGTGTTTCACAAAAACATTTTGCTTTAATTTGGGATTCAGTTTTATAGTAAGTCTGAAATTTGTATAAAGTAGACGTCATTTATAAACTTATGTCAAAAGCTTACGAACTAAATTTTGAAGGACCTTCTTTTTTCCACTTCTTAACACAGTGACATACAAGTACAATATATTCGTTAAATATTTAATTATTCTTCGATTTAAAAAGCATCTGAACAATCTTCTCACTTAAGCCCATTTTTTTTTGGTTAGTTGTTTAAAGTCATTTTAAATAGCTTCTCCTTTTGGGTAGGGTACAATTTACCGATACGACTTTGGATCCGCAAGTGAAGTAGCGCAACATCAAAACTTAGCAACGTATCAACTATCATTTGCTCCACTATTTTGTTTTTAGTGAGAGCGAAAAAAAGAACACATGCTGTGGCGTTTGAGTGATAAAAATGGAGCTAGAAGGGGTTTTAGGGCGGTAGCCCCAATATCAGAAAAAATTACATTCTGTCATCAAAATAATCAACATTGCCGTTAAGATTTTTTGATTTTAAATTCAATGATGCGTTTGAAATCAGCTGTTTTTGCACTTTTAAATTCTTTTGATTAGCTTTTAAAATGTCTTGAATTTATCATCATCGTCATTCAGATAATTTCAGATATATATATATATATATATATATATATATATATATATATATATATATATATTTCTGATGCAATACTCGATTAAATAGCTATCATATTGCTGCTTCCTTGTTCGGGTCTGGGGTATGTGACCATGAACATTACTAGAAGTGAAAAACAATTTTCTTCCAATGTATGTTTTTCGCATCTTCTGATTAAAAGACGAAAAAGTGGACTTTTTTTTTAAATGACAAAAAGAATAGTAAATGCCAAGTGCATAAGATTAGTAAGATTAGTACTGTAAAAATTGCAATTTCACATACATGTACTTAGAGATAAAATAGGAAGAAAAAAATTTCATTCAAGGTATTTGTTTTGGTCGGAACATGACGAAACAGGAAAAATTGAACGGGCAACTTTAGCAGGGGAAGAACGTGAAACCATAGTAACGGGAGCGGTATGGGTACCGGATATGGCGGTAGACACTGACAGTCAAACAATATATTGGATCGACATTCAGAGGAACACGGTAGAAAAGTGCGACTATGACGGCAAAAACCGGAAGGTTGTACGGAGGTCAAAGTTCACCAGCATCACAATGAGTGGCATTACTGTATACAAGGTAAATGTTGTAGAACTTATTGCATCATTGCACTAATTATTAAAAAATGAAACTTCTTCATAAAGAAGTAAAATAGTGCAAGAATCTTATTTTTCAATGAAAAACAATGTTCTGAATTTCTTAAAATTCGACTTCGATCTGTTTTGATCAACGGCAATAAATAGTCCATGATTCGAATATGTCACTCCTCAGGAATTGGTCTGTGTGACCGAATATCATTCCTACTTAGTCACGTGTTTGGATAAAACAACCGGGGATAATAAATGGATGCGGTACTTCCGGTCCAGAACACCATGGGCCATCAGTGTATATGACAAAACAACACAGAAAATCATCGACCGTAAGTATCTTGAAGTATTTATACAAATTGCATAAAGTTATTTCTTTTCGCTTTGCTTCCCAAATTACCCTTTCCTTTCCTTGAAATATTCTAATTAAACATGCGATTCAAAATCCTTCTCAACAAGTAACTTAATGGTACCTTTTGCATGTATTTCTAGATAGCTGTAAAAATATGAAATGCCAACACTTTTGTGTTAACACCCCCAACGGAGGGAAATGTATGTGCAAGTCTGGGTACCAACTAGCAACTGACCAAATCATGTGTCAAGGTAACCAACTGAATGCGATACAAAAACTTTCTAAAAAATACATATAGACAAAATAAAGAAGTTTTGCACGATATGTTATATATATACTTGTATCATGTTTATTGTTCTGTGATTAGATTGTTGTAATTACTGTAATCGTACTTCTTACAACGCATTTACCATTAAAAAAAAATACAGATAATAGTTGATCATCAACATTTTCTTTTAACATTTTTAAAAATTTAAATTACAGCTGACCATCACCTTTTCTCCAAGGGGTTATTCATTGCAAACAAAACAGACATCTGTATGTTGGACGTGCGAGTGATCACGAGTCTGTCACATGAACCAATCTGTCTGCCAATCAGAACAGAGTCCGTCAGGCTCCTTGCCGCTTCCGCTGTGGATTATCGTCTTTATTTCACTGACAGCGGGTTCTTGTACTTCTTTGACTTTGCCACAAATCTAACAACATCGCTAACACGTGTTGGAAAAATTTCAGGTATATTCTACTTTAATATTTACAATAAGTTATCAGAAAATTATATTATATGCATAACGTGTTACAAATCCGATATTTTTTTTTTTAGCTTTGAATTCATTACTTCGTGAATTCTTGAAAAATGGGAGATATGTTCTTGATTATTGAAAAAAAAGTTATTGGCTATTTTGAATTGAAAAAATTTATTGGCTATTTTCAATACATATAAATACAGAGGTATATAGTACCCAGTCTCTCGTAATGACAAAAAGTTAAGTTTATCTTGTCAAGTAAATACTGTCTCTATTTCTTGTCTCAGGGATAAAGTTTTTTTTATCTTGCCTTGAAATTAAAATGTTTAATGTTTCTCTTTTAAATAAAGTCATTTGTGATCAAAATTAAACCTTTACATCTTATCTTGCAAAAATAAAATCAAAATCCTGTGTATTAAGTTTTTACATCTTGTAAATAAAAACTCTTCATCTTTTGTTCAAAATCAAGCTCTACAAGTTGTTCTATTTTGTAAATACAAGTCTCTACATCTTGTATTCATCTTAACTTTTAAATCAAGTCTCTAAATATTTTCTCTTCAATGAAGTTTCTACATCTTGTGTTGTAAATTGTGTCTCTATCCTTAGTGATCATGTCCTTAAATCTTGTCTCTACAAAAGTTACATTTCCTTGTGTAAAAGATTCTCTACTTTTTTTCTTTAATACAATCTACATATTGTCTTGTAAATAAAGTCAACATCGTTTTTCATAAACCTATGAAAAGACATGTATTTCTAAAGTCGAATATCCAATACTGTGCCAGTTCTGCTCACACAAAAGTTGATGTTACTTGGATTTCACGATCTTGTTTAAAGTCAGCATTTCGTAAATTCTGTGGTAGTTATAATCACCTTATTAGCAAATATAAGCTATCATTGAGCCGTATTTTGACTAATTTATTTCATACCAACTGTTGGACCTTTGTTTTTGTACTAAATTTGACTAAGGAATGTTCCATCTACTTGATCAATACATAGGTTTCACGGCGGGTGTGACCTGTTAACAGGGGATGCTTACTCTTCCTAGCCACCTGATCCCACCTCTGGAATTTCTAGGGGTCCGTGTTTATGCCCTGTTCCCAGATTTGAACTGTTTTTATGAGATTGCTCACTGTTCGTTATTTTTACTCTTTTTCATTCTTGAGTTTTGTAAAGGCACATACTTGTTTTAAAGGTCTGGCATTTGACTGGATTGAGAACAATATATACTGGAGTGACCCTAAGGGAATCAGCATGTATTCCATCGGAGCAGACATTGCTACCAAAGTTATTGATGTAATTGAGAATCCGTCCTACCTCACCGTGTGCCCCTACCATCAGTGAGTAGTTTTTTACTTTTCCCTGTATTATTATTATGATCCTGTAACTTATCATCACATTGTTGTAATTATGATCATGTAAATTATCTTTATATTGTTATCATGATCCTGTATCTTATCATCAAATTGTTATCAAGATCCTGTATCTTATCATCAAATTGTTATCATGATCCTGTAACTTATTATATTGTTATCATGATCCTGTAAATTATCATTATATTGTTATCATGATCCTGAAATTTGTCCTTATTTCATTTTTTTTTTTTTTTTTACAATTTGTCTTTGTATTGTTATCTGATCTTGAAACTTGTCATTGTATGTTATAATGTTCCTGTAACTTGTCCATGGATTGTTATAACGACTCTATAACTTATCTTTACAATGTTGTAATGTTCCTGTAACTTGTCCATGGATTGTTGTAATAACTCTATAACTTATCATTTCAATGTTGTAATGTTCCTGTAACTTGTCCTTGGATTGTTATAATGACTCTATAACTTATCTTTATAATGTTGCTATGTTCCTGTAACTTGTTCTTGGATTCCTATAATGACTCTATAACTTTACATTGTAATATTGATCCTGTAACTTGTTCTTGGATTCCTATAATGACTCTATAACTTTACATTGTAATATTGATCCTGTAACTTGTTCTGAGCTTCTGTGGTATAATAATCCTTTTGTGCTGACTGTATAGTAATGAGATTTGTTTTGAGGATATGGTAGATGTTGAGTTTGATCAGTGTTATTGTATTTTGCCATAGGATGTTTTCCGAATGACGATTAGGTCGTATAGTTTGCTTACTTTGAATAGGTTACTGTATTTCTACATAGGGTGTTGTTAATTAATTCTTTTTTCTCCGTTGAATTTTGTATGTACAGAGTTATTGTATTTTTTATAAAATTTTCTTTGTACAAAGTTAATGTTTTTCTCTGTAGGAAGTTTTTTTATATAGTATTTCTTCATAAGATTTTGTCATTCATGGTAACTGTAATTCTCCGCAGGTTGTTTTCTTCCAGGGTTATTCCATAGGATGTTGTTCTAGATAAGTTCGTTTACCGTTTCTTAACCTTATATTCTGGATCAGTTTGTCTATCATTTGTTAACCTTGTATATCTACAGATTATGGTACTTCTCTACAGATTTTCTGGATTAGTTTAATGTTTGTTAACCTTGTATTAGTTAACATTATTGTTTTTTTTTTCTACAGAATGTTGTTCTGGATCAGTTCGTCGACCGTTGGAGACAGAATCATGTCCTCTTCCTTTGACGGCAGTAATATGACTACTATATACACCAGTAAAGGCAACAGTGGACTAACGGGACTGTTCTATAATGTCGATTCTAGTAGGTATGTTATGAGGACAGTAATGAAACAATAAAGGTCATTCATCGTTCAGCATACAAATTTCTTACTCTACAAAGCTTAATTATCCCCTCGCAACGGAGTTTGAGGGGATATATAACGCGCCTGTGTGCGTGTGTGGGTTGGTAAGTTTGTCCTTGTGTGCGTAAGTGACGTAATTTGCATCGGGATCGATGTCGAATGCTGCCTTGATTTATAGATATGTTCTTTTGCTACGGGATGCTCCGCTTTGCGGTGCCTTTGTTATAGGAATTGTTTAATAAAAAAATGAAAGCTTCTAGTGTCCAATATAAAAGGAACAATGTAAAAGCAAACATGAAACAGCGGAAAGTGTCAGAAATGTAATGGTACAATTATTGTTTTGTGATATTAAACCTAAAATTAGTCTAGGATTTATCAATTGATCGCAGTTCCTCGAAACACCACTAAAAATTACTATAAATACCTAGAACTAATATATCTTTGAAAGATACGCATTGTTACCATAGCTGCAGAACTGTAGCTCTCTGGTTGGTGAAATTCAGATAGACAAACCAGAGAGCTACAGATCCAAGGATTGTAAAAAATACTTTTTTGTCACACGCTTATGGGATTATTCATTGTATTATATGCCCTCCCCCGCCAAAAGAATTGTACCTGCCTGTTGATTAACCATATATTTTACTCGTAATCTTAATACTTCATTTTACCTTACAGCGGTCATTTAGCATTACCTCAACATGAATGTCGGTATGATATTTTTTTTGGAACGGACATTCCGAGTCGATAAAAAGCTGTTTTGGACCATTGAAAAGTAAAAAAAGTGACAAGATTGGGCAAAATATGTGGTTAATTAACGGATACTATGCTTTTGGCGGGGGGACACATATATTACACAAAATAATACCCTAAACGTGCGACATACATGTAAAAGCGTCGCCGTAAATCAAATTTTATTTTACAATGCTTAGATCTGTAGCTCTCTGGTTTGTCTGTCCGATTTTTGTCAACCAAAGAGCTACAGTTCTGCAGCTAATTGTTACCAGTAAGATTATTTCATGCGTATAAATTCTCTTTTCTTTTTCTAACATTTACTGGGCGTTAATTGTGTGCTACAAAATGCATTGAATTTTAAATATGCAAAACGAATGATTAGATTGTGTATTAATGAAAATATTTTGATATACGACTTTCAAATGATTTTTTAGAGCAATGCAAGGTAATTAATCCTGTGAATCATATTTCATGACATTAAAAAGATAAAGTTCAAATGAATTTCACATCAATGTAAGTGCAGTAACAGTATTTCTTTTATATTATTATATATTTTGAATGTTCTTGTTGTTTTAATAGACTATTTTGGATTGACAATGGAAAATTAAAGAGTGTCAAATATGATGGATCAGACGAGCAGACATATTTCTCAATCAAGTACGACAAAGAGCTGGTTGTCTATAAAGTAAGCAAAAAATCTGAAAACTTGAAATAATGTCGCAGAAATGATAGCTTTTAAGAACATACTGGTGTATATACTGAAAACGTAATTTTTTCCCATAGGGTCGTAATTTAATTCCATGGAATCAATATCTGTATAATCCATGGGTAGAAAATTACGAACGCTGGGGCAAATTTTGCGGAAAGTTTGTGACCGCGTACATAGCGTAAATAAATACATGCGGAAAAAGTGCTTCTACAGTATTAGTGCCAATCATGACAATCACATGTATATCAAATAAATTATTGTTTTTCCCAAATCCATGATATTACGTGTAAGAGCAATGTTTACTTTCCGTGGCAGGATTATATTTTGTCCACAACGACTGAAAATGAGCTACATTCGGCGTCCTTAGCTTCTCGCCAAATAGAACTAACAGTTGAACTCGATGGGTTCGGAAAACTCACAGGAATGGCTTTATATGATCCTGGACTCCAGAAAAAAGAAAAAGGTGAAGATAGAATCTGCTGTATAACTAGAATATTACCTGCACTAGTTCTGTAAGCCACTGCGCAATTTTTTAATTGGATATGGTTGACATTTGAGTGGCGTTTCTATTTATTTTCTTGTTTGGTCTTTTAAAATGCTTTAAAATTTAAACTATTTTTCTTTAAAACGCTTTTAGAATAAAATTTCTTAATTAATGTCACTTATGTTAGGTTTATCAGAATTGGTGTCATATTTACTGACCAAATTCTGAAGTGAAAATATTTATGACAGTTTTATAAGCATTTTTCACGGTGATTTATATTTTGAATGAATTTTTAATTAGAAACAACACCACCATAATGAATATTTTCTTCTTCTGTAATATTATACGTATTTGTAGTCTACATGAAAAATCTACAAATATAAAAAATTTTATACAGACAAATTGAAGTTTTTATACACATTTAGACTGTTTAAAAAGTGAAGAAACAGAAATGCATGTATAGCTAATTAAAAAAAAGTGTACACTACATGTACGTTTTTATAAACAATGTAGAGAACTTAACACAGCTAAATTAAAAAAAAAACGTATTTTCGATAGAACAAATGTTTTAAAAAAAGAAACCATTATGATTGATTTCTTCATTCTCCCATCAGGACCTTGTGAATTAAATAACGGAGGATGTGAACATATATGTGTACCAAAGGGAACATTTAGGAAGTGTATGTGTGCTTTTGGCTATCGACTGGAACTGAATGGGGTGAACTGCTCAAGTGGTAAATACTCTCTCTCTCTCTATGTGTGTGTCTCTCTCTCAGTGTGTATGTGCCCTTTGTAAGTCCTTTTAAAATCTGAATTTCAGCTACCTTGAAGAATAATTTCATACTCACTGTGGACTTCACTCACAAGAAGATTTATCAGATTTCTACCCAGTCTGCCATGGTGTCTGCTCTAGATGTTCAGGAAGATTACTCACCAGCCCGCGCCATTGTTCATCACGTGACTTCTGACGTCTACTGGTCAGATTTTAGAAGTCGTCAGATTAAAAAAATGACACTGGATGGCAAGAATATCACAACTATTTTGAATCTAGGTAAATATATATGGCAAAAATCTTAGAAGATAACCACAAGTTGTGTTCATTTTTCATATTCCGTTCTTAGCACCTGTTGTACATGTAGATATGCCATTTCCATATATTGCAGGTTCCTTCACTCCATTTGGGATTGCCCTGGATTATTCCACTGACCTTTTATACTACGCCGCTGTTCTGGCTGGACTGACTAGTGCATCTTTCATTGGAATTGTTGATCCCTACACTGGACATGACCGCCGAATCATCACCGACCTGGCTGCCGCTTACGAAGTTGTTCTTTATCCTTCAGAGGGGTCAGTTCTGTTCTAACAATTAAATTCATGTCAAATCTTTAAAAAGTGAGGTATTACAATGAGTGATTTGTTTTTAGGTACCTTTTCTACACAGACACTGGCGATGTGCCATATATTGGACGTGCCTCTATGGACGGTTCCTTCAAAAGGGCAATCGTAGCTACTGGAATCCGTCAGGTGAATGGTTTAGCCATTGACTACACATGTAAGTTTATTTTGAAAAAAAAATCGCTTTTATGATGGTTCCACGTGACAAAAACGTCTCTTTATTCAGACATTACACCCATGGCTTTATCTCAAAGACAAAGAAAGATTTTTTTTTTTTTAAAGTTTTTAACAATTCTGCGATTGCTGAATATTTTACCTGTTTTTTTTTTTTATTTTCACAGCAAAACGTCTTTATTGGACTGATGGCGTCAAAGACAAAATAGAATATTGTGATTTTAATGGTGAAAACAGGAAGGTACTATTAACGGATGAGCAAGCGCATTTAGCTAACCTGGTTGTTTCTGGGAATTATATATACTACACTGCTATAAATAGACAGTAAGTTGCATGCTTATCACCATCAATTATTTCGATAAATACAAAAATGAGATTTACAAAGATAAAATTATTAAATTCGGAAACTTAAAAATTTTGAAAAAATTGAATTTTCTCACTAGGAACAATGGTTCATAAATGTTAACTTTCCTTTTTCAAGTTAGTGTTGAATGTTATAAATTACCTTTTCATTATAATGACATGTCAATGAAACTTTTTTATATAGGAGGGTGACAAAAGTTAACAAGAACTCGAGTTATAAAGTTCACTGGATGACCGACTCGTACGAGTACGGAAGACTCGAATCCGTTGACATACATCCGGGAGACGTGCAACCAGGTAATGAACGGAATCAGTGGTTGTCAAAATAATATTCCACCCCACTCCACAAAAATAATATACTTGTAAATAGGTTGATAATACTATATAAACAGTATTTCTTTAAATCCGGAGAGTGAAATATGAACAAAAACCTATCATAAAATCACATTACCTGCATGGTCTCTTTTTAATTTCTCTTCATAGTAGTTATAAACATTTTATCTAACAGTGAACGAGAATTGCATCAAAAGTAATGGAAACTGTAGTTCTTTGTGCATCCCAACTCCCACCGGCTATGTATGTGCGTGCGCAGACGGAATTGAAATGACGGATAAATACACATGTGCGACCGGTATGTAAAAAAAAGATTTTCAAATTCCTTACTAGTGTATTTCTATTCATTTTGTACAGTTTAACCAGCTGTTAACTAAGGAATGACGTAACATACATTTTAGGTTCCAGGAGGAAGCCGTTATCTTACCTACGAAAAATAAGCTCTCTTGATCCTAAGAGTGTTTTAAATCAACAAGGATCAATTATTGACAGCCCCAAGGCTGTAAGAAGCGAGGGCGGTGCTGATAATACGCCAGTCATTGCGGGGGCAGTCCTAGGGGGCGTGGTCCTTATCGGTATCATGCTTGGAGTCGTTGCATTCATACATGTCAAACGCAAGTAAGTGACCCCGTGCTCTTTTGAAATGCATTTAAAGAAATTAAAGTTGGAAAGGCATTAAGATAGGGCCAATCCACCCGCTAATGCAACTCTTAAGACAACTCACATAATAAACTTACTTGTGGTAAGAACAAACATTTCAAATAAACAGAGAATTTATACATGTAGTTGTCAAAATTAACACACACTGGAATTTTTCTCACTTTGAAACCAGTGATCTTTTGAGCTTTGAGCCTTTGATTTCTCCCATTCTTTACATATTTCATTTTTTTAATTAAAAAAAATGTAAAAGAACTATAGTATATGCATAGTTTTCCACCCATGAAAGTCAATTTTGAAAAATTCTTAAAATTTGCTAAATTGTATATATTGTACAGTATTAAAAATATGAGTAAACAAAGAATATTATAGTTTGTAAAAAAAAAAAAAAAGTTATTGGAAATTTTGTTTCTTTGACACCACATACTATTAGGATTTTCCGTTATTTTTAAGAAAGAGGACGAAAAAGACAAATTGGTTCAATTTTGACTATATTATTTACAGAGCGAGCTCAAAGATGTCCCATAACAATATTCACATATTTCACTGGTATCATTCTACACACTATATCAAAAATTGAGGTGGAACAGACCTGCACTCGGTGACTTTTAATCAAATATTGACATGAAATACACTTTTTAAAAGAAAAATTATTGAATTTTTTAAATTTAGATCTATTCATTTTCTAGACGTGGCCATGGCTGACGAAAATATTTAATGCTTTGACGTCTGCAGATATCCCCATGTTTTTAGAACATAATTATAGATTTCTCAATAAAAAAATCTGATTCTGGGGCAAATATTCATAATTACAGAATATAGTTCAAATTGTTATGCTTGGTCAAATGTAGGATATTGCTTAGTGTAAATATTTACAAAATCAAATACAAAAGTTTTATCTTATAAAAAGAATGATAAAAGTATTAATTATGGTGAATTTATTTTGACATGTTTTGTTGTGTTAAGTGTATATTATCATTTTTTACGATTTGACCAAAACATAATAATATACTTTCAGGAAGAATCTTTCATACCAAGAACAGATAGACACTCCTACTGTAAAATTTGCCAATGATAGAGGAATTGGTAATGTCGGCTTTGTTGAAGAAAACTCGGGCGCAAGGAATAATTCCTGAAAATAGTCCAATCATCATCAACTGGTTGTAATCGTTATCTGCAAGCTACGTCACGATTCTACAAGTGAATAATTGACGAATGAGTGGTCATATTTAAGCTATAGAGACTGAGAGCTTCTGTGTATAGTTATAATTTAATCAATTTTTATATGGGACATAATAAGAGACATTTCACTGCGTAGTGATACTGATCAAAGTAGTAACTCACGTGACTGTAAATAGTGGGTAATTCTCGAGTAAGAAGACAATGTTAAAAAGCCACGTATCTTTGTTGTCAACATTATTCGTATTAACATTTTTATTAATCTCTACATGAATATACACAATTAATTTAAACATTGGGTCAGTTCATTAATGACAAAAATACAATAACACTGAGTTAGATAGAAGTATTTTCCATGATTCATTATATCATTATATTCGCTAATCATTACCATTAAAGGCTTTCTTTATATACAAAATAAAATTAACTTTGTAACCATTTAAGACAACATGTGCATTATAATCATTCAAATAGGACAACTTCAGCGTCCTACGTGGAACTGTGTGCGGATGGAACAAAACTTTCTTTTTATTTGTTTTATTATCCCTTGGTTTCAGTCCATGTCTGGTCTCCCCTAGGCCTGTACCAGTTATTGTTTTGTACGGCTCATTTCACTACAGTTTTAAAGCGACACTTTGACGCACAAACGGGAAAAATGACAGAATTTTTGCATGGCCCATGCAAATTTTGTATCCTAAAGTATCAGGTTTCAGAAAATTACAGATTTTGGAACCTAAAAAAAATCTACTTTTATGGGGAAAAAAAATTGTATGGCCCAAGACGAAAATATTGCTTTGCTTAACTTCTTCCTATTGTCCACATACGCAGAAAAGTTGGAGACGTTACCATGATCTCAAGTACCAAAAGTGGATGTCGGTAGACCAAGAATTTTTTATACAATCTTCAAACAAGATTATTAGAACATATTTCTCACCTTTGCATGCTACAACTAATGTTGTTTACAAGTTTACGCTAAAAATGAAAGTGGCGTGACCTTAACATGCATAACAACAAACCGGTAGATACAACCTTTGTTTTTCCGGCACTAATATTGCGCAGTCTTTTCTTGCTTTACAGTGCAGTTGTCATATCTTCGCTACACTCATAATTTTCATAAATCTTTCGCTAAATCTTTCGCTTTATGATACAGATATCTTAAAAGAAACGCATAATTTTGACTTATTATGTAACTTTAAAAGATGTTTCTGATGTAAAGCCATTGCGTTACCGGTATATCTACAATGTCATTCATGATAACTGTAATTTGTGAGAAAATTGCAGAGTGAAGGAATTAATTAATTGTCATATCGTACTCATATACATGCATAAGTACGTGCTCCGGTGTTGTGTTCTCTTTACTATTTCGAAAGGACATGTCTTTTTCTGTATTTGTAGCAGTTATAAAAAGTATTGAAGTTTGAGGCTAATATCGTGATAGGCATTGCCAAAAGTAGCAGACCAAAAATGGCTGCAACAATGGCAACACAGTATCCCTCCACTGTCTTAGGGTAAAAATCGCCATATCCTACAGTTGTCATGGTTATTATCGCCCACCATATACTGATAAAGACGGTGGGAAACGTGTCGGGGTTATCTAGCTCCACCCAAAACATTATCGATCCGAAGATGAGGGAGAAAGCTGTTAATACCATTAGAAGCAAAACAAACTCTCGCCAACTCTCATGTAGCGAAAGTTTTAGTATCTTCATTTCCGGAGTGAACTCAACCAATCGCAGGAAACGAATAACTCTTAAACTTTGAAAAACTCCGAGTGCAATCAAAAAGTTATCTAAATGTTCATTTTCCCACGTGCTAATTGAGTAGACGTCGATGTACCAAGCCACATACACTGCCAATCCCGTAGCAATATTTAAAATGTTTTGGAGACTGAGTAAGAATCTTCTTTTTTGATGAGTTATAACAAATATCACCAAAAGCTCAAGCAGGAGGAAAGTGTTCGTAAAAAATTCAAGAATACTCTTAACATATTCACGTGTAGTTGTTATGAAAACGAGATACTTTTTATTTTTCACGATCATGTTGTAAGTCAAATTGTATGGGAGAACCGGAAGTCCCTCTCGGGAGACTCGGAAGTGTTGATCACTGTTAAGCAAGTACACAACGACAGAAGTAATTGTAACCAAGGCTGAGATAAAAAGCCACACCTAAAACAATAAAGACATGCACTTCTGATTATCAAACATCATCAAAGCATTTGATTCTTTTACAAATCAACTTACGGCGTACGTAATACATGAATATATCTGCATTACTATTGAGGCTTAAAAATAAGATCTCACGCTTACCCTTCCAGTCCAAGTCGTAAAGGGATGCAAATATGCCTCCAACAGCTTGTATCGGAGTCTTCCTAAACAATTCTTGACTTTTTTTTCACCAAACATTGGCGATACCGATCGATTTGTCTGTACTTTCAGATCGCTCTCTAAATTCTCAATAGAGGTATACTGATATTCGTTTTCATTATAAAGAGATTCATAGCAGCAATTATGGATGCCTTTAGAAGGTATTCTCCAAAACTCTATCTCTTTGCGTGCTTGAAGTGGACAGATATTCTTTGGAAGATGAAATTCGCCTCCAGAATGGTAATCCAAAATGTGGTGAAAAATCATTGGGTTTCTGTCAACATAAAAGCCCCCATTTGGGTGAGTAGCTGCCTGGTCAGCCTTAACAAGAGCATGCATCAAGTCTCTGACAAAGGGGGACGTGGAGAGGAATTTAGTTCCCCTCAAGTTAATTTCGAATGATTCATTCATGTTGTTAAATCCAGTAGTACAAAAGTGAATAACAAACTCTAAGAGTTGAAAAGGTTCTACCGCAGCAAGAGAGAATATACGCCAGAGCTGAATTACCAAAATGGGTTGATTCATTGTTATAAGAAATATTCTATGTTTGATTTGTTAATGGCATTATCACTCGGAGATGGAAATTAAAGAATAACCTGTCATTTAACTCGAAGAGAAAAATATAGATTGATGAATTGCACTATACCATATTTTGGCACTATACCATATTTTAAGTGCCATATCTTTCTAATGACATTTTAAATAATCCCTTGTATTGTTTTATTTGACCAAATGTTGGAACAATTGTCAGATCCTCATCAACAAGTAAATATGGCACAACAATTTTATAATTAGATCATGAATATGGTCCATAGTTTAGGGAAAACCTAGAAAAACAAATTTGATGAACAGTTACAGAAATTATTGATATGATGGTGGCAAATCAATTGGAAGTGAATCATTCTACACAAGGTATTGTTTTGCCTATAAACAGTAGCATATACACGGTATATAAAGGAAACTTTTCAGAAATTACAATCACTCATATGTTTTTTGAAGAAGCGGTCGATCAAAACTATAAATCATGTTCATTATGTTTTGACAACAGTCTGCCCTTGATCTGCAGTGAGTACACGTATTCTAGATCTATGAGTACATGCACAAGTCATTCCAACACACTTGGACAAATAATTCAACAACACTAATATTTTTAAATGAGGCTAATTTGCCAACCGAGTTTAATTTCAGTTCCTTACGAAAGAATGTATAGATAGATTTTATGTGGAGCGCGAGAGGAAATAATGTAATTTCAGGATCACAATTATAAATTTGATTGTTTCCTCCTCCCAATGTTATCCAGTGTGACCTACAGATACATACAGACATGAGAAAAGTCTAATAATTTTTGTGGAATAATGTATAGATATCAACATGACTGAAATACCTTACAATTATGTAATAAAAATTGTAAATTAATCATTTTGTTATTGAGAAAGAGTTTAAAAATATTGATGGCCAGGCGATGTTTTTAATCATTATCAATTGGTTAACAAAACAATACAATTTTAACCTTCAACCCTTTAACTCTATTCCTTTATATTGAATATTTCATTTCTTTTTCAGATGTTGAGGAGATAAGAATACAGTGGCGCCTCGTTAATCCGGACGCCTCCGTCCCCAACGAAATCGTCCGGATAAATGAATCGTCCGGATAAGTGAATCACTTCTTAAAAGGCGTACCCTCTTAAATCATATACATATGAACATAGTGGTATCAAATGTGAAGGCAAAGAAAACACCTTTATTTTACCTTGACATATTGATTTTATTTTTATAGTTTTAAAAGAAATAATAGATTTTAAAAAAAGAAAAAAATTAAAATGTAATTTACACGATGAAAAATGGATAGGCAGTTTTATGTTGAGACTTCCTTTTCTAACACAGGAAACTTTATTCGCCTTCCTGTAGTTACATGGGCTGACCAAATTTTGATCTGCTACTGTTTTATTTCGGCACTTCTTTTTTTATATTTATTCAAGCTCATATTAAGTAGAACTGTTCATTATCACCATTGAGAATGTACAAATGATTAACCGCGTATATTCACTACATAGGGAAGTAAGTAACTAAACACTGTAATCAGTGTACGTATTGCAAACATTCAACGTAAACACAAGCCATATTCAGGATTATCAATACTTTTTCTATAAACTCATAAGTTATATATCTTGAAAAGACGTGATCGGCATTTATAACTAACGCCAGTTACGTATTTCTTAGTGCATTAATAGAAATATATTTTCTTGAATTATGTATCATAATAAATTGTCTTATGAAAAGAAAAAATAGTTTCAAATAATGTACGATCGTATTTTGATAAACTTACGTAACTCGATACCACAACGAAATCTCGTGATTTATTATTCAATAAAAATTTTATTTACAACTCTCCAAAATTCTCATAAATTTATATTCGTTAGCAATTTAATTAATGCACAATATAAGCTAAATTCTTCGGGCTTTATAATATAAAAGACGTGTGTTTTAGCTGAGGTAAACACACGCTAATTATAGACGCTATTGTTTAGGGGTCACAGGTAACCGCCTTCAAACTGACTCCACGGACAATGTTTTTACAATAATTATCACTACTGCAAGAAAGGTGTGAAAAGTCGTTCCTCGAAAAATTACCGTCCGGATAAACGAGTCATTTTTCAATGAAATATTGCGTTTTGTAGTAGAAATTGACCGTCCGGATCCGGAACGCGAATTTCCGGATTAATGAGACAGAATAACGTGGAAAAAATCGGTTCCCATAAAATATCGTCCGGAAGGTGAAGCGTCCGGATTATTGGCGTCCGGATTACCGCGGCGCCACTGTATATCCATCTATTATGGATAGTAACATTTAAATGTACATAAAGCGAATAATACCAATTGGTCATTTAAAATTCAAATTATAGATGAATACACGAAATAATTAGGCCATCGATTATCATTGTGGTATCTACAGCAATTCAGGTTAACTCTAACCAGAATCCATACTAACAGTAAACTGAATGAATGAGTCGATGTGTGTATTGAATCGAAAAATTTCACAACAGATTAAACTGTAAGCACTCTATTACCAAAGCATCTCAAATCCTACCCCAAAGATCGAATATTTCCGGGAACTTGTCTATTTCTATATGCTGTGCCTAGGTTCATATGTATGAAAATGTTTGTAGGAGAAGCTGCAAAAAGTTTTCCTGAGTAATTGTACCAAAATTAGGACCTCTCTGCAGCAGTATAACTTACAGGGGCTAAGCCCGTTTTTGTTACCAAAAGTCATAATTTACTAAGGGTTGAATTAGGAAATGAAGGTCAAAATGATCGATTGAAAACTTTAAAATTGATTTAGATGGTGTTGCTGGCGGAGTTTTCTAACTACATCTTGTAAAGTAATAATTTTGAGCATGTCTATTAATACCAAGGTTCATTTTTTCTAAACATCACAGAGGTATGAATAGCACATCACCCTTTTGCTCAGTCGACAATTTAGTAGTACAAGCATCTAATTTTTTTATCAGTACAAAATTTAAGCTAAACATTTCAAAGCAATAGACGACCATGTTATAATAATTATTGTCATAGAATACAGCTTTTGATTGGATGGCTAAATTTTTAACAATTAAATCACTGCACTGCACTGCAAATGCATGTAGTTCATACAACATGAAAAAAAAATCATAAGGAATGCCATTTCAAACGATTTTCAAGAGTTTTGAGCAGATGATCAGTTTCACCTACATTTCCGAATTCGACAATTACTTCATGGTATATACGTCTTTAAATAGCAAAACGGTCTTAGACCTGTGATAAAATCTTTGCCTTTTGTTCGTGTTTATGCCTGCAAATGTACATTTGTTCAAGATAATTGACAATAAAAAAATTAAAACAAAAGATATCAACGGAGCATTATCTCTCATTCTCTTCTTTAAAATATAAATACTAAGTGTACACTTTATTTTGAAACGGAAATCTTTTATGCACTATACATGTATAAACAAATACTATCAATGGAAAACGGTTGAGATTTTGAGTATTAGCGATCCATATTACCTTGAATTCTACAAAATACTGTCTTGAACACTAAGATAAATCAAAATCTAATGTAAGCGAAGTCAGTTCTTGTTCTTGCTACAAGGCACAAGTTTCCGCTGGTTCTTTTAATAGTTTTGATTGCTTTACTTGCTTTGTTTTCATGTGAGTTTTTCTAAAGTTATAGCAATCATAGATCTTGCTAAAATTTGATGCAATGGTTGCTATTGGCATAGCTAATAGTATCAAACCAAATATAGACGTCAACACTCCCACAAAATACCCAGATGTTGTTTTCGGAAAAAAGTCGCCATATCCAACCGTCGTCATGGTAATGATTGCCCACCATATACCGACAAATACGTTGGGAAAGGTGTCCGGATTAAAAAACTCCGCCCAGAATATCCAGGACCCAAAAATAAAAGCAAATGTTATCAGGACTGTAACAAACAGACAGAATTCATTAATGCTTTTTTGTAGTGATAACTTTAGCATTTTCATCTCTGAGCAAGATTCGATAACGCGGAAAATGCGAAATACACGAAGCGAGTAGAAGATTTGCAAGAATGTAGAGAATTCATAAGAAAAGTTGTTAAGAGACTCTTCATAATCAACCAGATACTCCAGAGCCGTGAAGCTAAAGATCACTAACTCGGTCAATAGCTCCAAAATATTTTGAGGCCTTTTACAGAACTGTTTTTTCATTGGACTAATAACGAATCTCAAAATAAGATCAAACATAAGTACAGTATTTGAAAATAGTTCTGCAAAAGCCATTTGTTGAGAGGTCTGGGTAACCAGCAGCTTATATAACTTTTTGTTGTTGCCAGCCAATTCAATGGTCTTATTGTTCGGCTGGCCAATTCTCTGGACCCGGAAGAAAGCCGAACTCTCCAGTAGGAAAACAGCTATAGAAGCAGCAGTTGCTATAGCAACAACAAACAGCCATACCTACAATGACACAATAAGTTCTAATCATTAAAGAACTACGCACGCCAACTCTCGATTCCCGCCTACATTTTACATCCATTTAATTCAATACTAATGGCAATTTGGCCGTAAAATCTTTGTTTAATGCAGTTCAATTGTAATTGATTGAAATAATTAAAATACCAGTGTTAAATAGTTAATTACCCCTAATTCCAGCTCTTTAAATAAGGGGGTAGACGATATTTTTCATTGAAATCGGGCTTTAAAGCATCACCACATTTTAAAATATTCTTGGATATGAATAAATTTTCCTTAAATCTTTTCTTATGTTTTACTCATATAAAATTAAACATATTATACATATATCATTAATAAAATACAATGTTTTAGTTATAAATCCCTTTGAAGTTGTTGAAAAAATAAGCATTTTTGCAGTTTTTTTTGTCTGTAAACATATGTTCCCCCCGTGAAACACAAAAAGCTTTCG